CGCCAAAGCCTCAGACCAGGCGCTCTTAATGCTCTCCAATCCAGCGACTTTGCTCTCCATCGCAGTCAATTTTCTCATCCACTCCACGCTCATCGCCTCGACATTGACCAAGTTCTGGTCCATCTCCGACTGCATCAACCTTAACCTACCCTGTAGATGTTCACACTTCGCTGCGATCCCCTTACCCAACTCGAGCTCCCCGTCCTTAATTTGAAGTTGCTCCTCGAGTTCGCTCTTGCTGCGGATGGTCTGCATCAACTCCTGATCCCTTTTCTCCAACTACTCACCGAGAGTCCGATTACGGGGATCCGTCCTCAGCCGCTCATGCATCTCGCGACACCTATCACGGTAACGACGATATTTCTACAGCATCCTCAAGAAAATCCTTGCCCAAATGTTGGCCCTGCGAATGCGTTCCACTTCTACCATATATGTCTGGAAAACGTAAAGACGAGGGTAAGACTAGTACTTTCGAGAAATGCGAAAGCATAAAGCGAAAACAAAATGTAACTTACCCTTAAGCCCATGACAACCACCTCGTCCATCAACTTAGCATTGGGAACAGACCGAAGGGACTCATTCTCAGCTTTGGAGCACAACAGGTTGAACTGCGGTACCAGATCCTCCCCTTCCGCCAAGAGATTAACACCAAAAGGGATTTGAAGAGTACGGGTCGAGCTCCCCGCATTAACCACCGAATGAGTAAGACCCTCCTCAAACATCCTAACATCGTTAGGGTCCAGATCGAACTCAGATTCATAGTCGTCAGCCACCACACCTTTCCCCCTTTCTGTTGTTGAAGAGGAAGCACGACCTGTTGTAGAAGATGAGGGCACGTCTGAAATCACGATGGCAGCCCCAGAAGTCTGATTATCCACCGCGACAGGTTGTTGATCATCAACATCGGCAAGGATTTTTGATTGATCCAAGACGGTGGCAGGAGATTCCGATTGCTGATCTCGGTCACCAATAATTCCAGCGATTTTCTCCGCCCCTACAGGGGGAGCCGCAATAACACCCTCTCTAGAGCCCGTCGGGGGAGAGTCATCCAAATGAATTATTGTTGGGGGTGTCGTCTCAAACTCTACTCTCCGTCTCTTCGACGACCCCTCTTCCTCTCTAATAGACGATGACTCATCCGTTGGGCGAATGCCAATGGCCGGAACCTCGTCCTGAGAAACGGCCCTCACTAGAGTAACCAAGGCCGCAGACTCAACTGAAGCAGCCCTCGATGAAGGTCGAACAATGGGTACTGCGATAGGGTGAGCAAATGCGACCGGCTGGCGAAAAGCTAACAGAGGAGCCCCCGCTCTCCGCACTCTCCCTGGCAACGACAAACGACACATAAGAGGTTGAACAAAAAAAAAGGGGGGGGAGAAGAGAAAGACCAGTAAGCAAAGGCACCATCTCAGTCCGCACATAAAAGTAATTCTCATAGATACGACGGTTGGTCCTGTCGTCCATCTTCACCACCAGACTGCTCGATCCACAAAGACGCATGTGAATCATCGAACCGCGAATAAGTTGAGGAGCAAAGATGCTGAGCATATGGCCCAAAGTGGCCTCACGACCGGCGAGTTCCGCATACTTGAGCAGCATAAGGAATAACTTGTACAGATATGGCGAATGTTGTGTGAGGCACACTTCGTAGAAGCGGAAAAATTCCACTCCCAACATGGGAAGAGGAAGTGTATACCCTACAAAGAAGGGGTAGGCATAGAACGCACAGTACCCGGGACGGTCGAAGTGAACTATGTCGTTCCCCTCCACCGGCTGCATATCGACGTAATTGGGGATTCCCCGCCTTTATTTCAACTCTACAATCCCCCTTTCCCTCACGACGGAGGGGACAGGTTCCGGTTCCGCCCCACCACTAATACTGAAGTTGGTCGCCTCTTTCCCGGGGCGAGGCAAGATCTCAACCACTGAGGGAACCTCCTCATCCTCCGCCGCATCCATCCCTCCAGCAACCTGAGCAGGACTTTCCGGTACCGGATTAGCGGCAGGGAGATTGTCGCAAGAAGATCACCAGCCATTTTCAGTAGAAAGCGCGCCAAAGAAGTAGTAAAAAGAAGAGATGAAAGATTTCAGTGAACAAGAGGGTAAGCAGAAATTCAAGGTATCAAAAAAAAGATATATCTGCAAACTCTCCCAAGCGAAAGATGAAGTGAGTCAATCGAATGACAAGTTTCCTCTATTTATAAAAGACATAAATCCCCCGAGCACAAAATTCAAGAGTCGCCATTCAAATCTGATAAGGCACCAAAACGTTTCAGTCTCCCAGAAACGTGTGTCATAATGATGGTAATCACGAACTAACGCTTCAATACCAAACGACGTTTCGATTCCGAAACTGCCGCAGCGGTCCATGAAGATCGAAAGAACGCCGCCACTCCGCTAAAAATCCATAAAATATGGTTAAGGAACGGAAGGTTGTAGGCCAGATTTCTCTCGACTTCGTAACGAACATGATCCGTCTACCGAGTCCGACATAGGACGACCCCGACAGACGGAAAGCCTAACTGTATTGGTCAAAATCTAACCACCACGACCAGATTGCCCGACACCCCGCCTCACTAACTGGGCCGTGAAAGTCAATAGAGCTCACTCCATTTCTCCTATATGACATCCGACGAATCGAAAAGAGTGACGCCTAAAATCACGACCAAGACACATTAGTGGCAAGAAAGTGTCGAGTCAAACAAAGGGTAAAGGTTCCTCGACTATATATAGCCAAGAAAAGCTCTCAATTTAAGGGGGCTTCTCCATTCTCTCGAAAAAGGAAGACAATAAGCTCCCTTCTTTTATTCTAGAAAAAGAGGAAATGACCTCGAAGAGAATATGTAAATCTACTTCCTCATCGATTGATGAGAAGGGCAATGTCGATTCTTAATAAGATCAATCATATCTCTTTCATCCCATATGTAATTATTATTGTTAACTTTCCGATCCGGAATTAATTATGCTTGACTAAGATTTACCCATTCATCTTTGATTGATTTGTTCAGAAAGGTTTTAATAACTTCTGAGTCAAACAAAAATAATTTAATAACTTTAGTGTAATAAAAAAAGTTGAGTGAATATTCATTAAATTTATTTTGCAATTTGAGGAAAAAAGTAAAAGAAAAAGGTAAGACAAAAGTCACAAAACTAACCAGAAGAAACTGAAATCACATAGGTTCGAGAAATGAAATTTATTCTGCAATTTAGGCATAGGCTTGTCTTTTGCCGGAAAAGGTATAGAAGAATTAATACAGCCATTCATAAAATCGCTTAAACTAAATATTACCAATAAATATATAATATATATAATTTATAAATAATATGTGTATAATTATATATAATTAGTTTATAAGTTATAACTAAGAAAAGTAAACAATGCGACAGATAGCGTAAAAATCCCAAATGTTTAAGAATGAAAGTTGCAAGCATTAATCTAAGGGTGAAATTAAAAAATAGCCAGATTTACAACTGACAATTGAAAGATAGCTACGGTTTTAAAAGTAATCAAAATTTAGTCACTTTTCATGTAAAGATAAAATCTGAATAAAAATACTGTTAAAAACGAAAATATTCCAGCATAATATGCTGGAGTTTGAATTTTTTTTACATATGAGCTTTCAACATAATATGCTATAATTTTATAATGTGCTGGAGTTCCATCATAATATGTTGGAAGTTTATATGTAGGTTCTACATAATCCTGCATATTATGCTGGAACTTTTGAATCTCGGAGTTCCAACATAATATGCTGGAAGTTTGTACGCATGAGCTCCATAATCCCACATATTATGCTAGAATTTTCTGTATTTTAGCAAAATAATGACTATTTTTTTAATGACTTTGCAAACGCTGACTATTTTTTAATTAGCGACCAAAAAAATGACTCGTGCTATTTTGACTTAATCTAAAGGCCCAGGCCATAAATGAATGGGCTTACATTTAGAGATAAGTGGACAATGACAAGGGCATTTGTATTTATACCCACTTTTTGGGTTACATTTTAACTTGTGTCTGCTTTGTAATAAAAATTACAAGCATACCCACTTTTTCGCGGTACTTCAACATACATGGCTGAAGTAGCAAAGGCAATCACGCAAAACTTCAGCATTCTAGTAGCCGGGCCTGAAGTAGACCGAGTGTGCTGAACTTAAGCATTTTGGTGCTGAAGTTTTGTTCTCTATTTGCTGAACTTAAGCATTCTAGTGCTGAAGTTTTGTTCTCTATTTGCTGAACTTAAGCATTCTAGTGCTGAAGTTTTGTTCTCTATTTGCTGAACTTAAGCATTTAGTGCTGAAGTTTTTTTATCATGAATAAGCTTTTTCAAAAACTTCAGCAGAAGATGCCGAAGTTATTTAGTTCATTTGTAAAAACTTCAACACTGTATAAGGTGAAGTTGAATCCATAAGACCACGTTTACTTTATCAATTCTCAACAACTTTTTACATCTCTAACGAAAACATAAAAGGAAGAACAAATCTATTTTCATTATTGTCGTTTATTTTCCTCATTTCAATTGAGTTCATTACAAAATATTATCTTCAATGCCTGCTAGATTAATCAGTAATTAATCACCTTTTTTTCTATTGTTCTGGGCTTGTGGAAGACTAGGGGTTTCATGATTTTCTTTTTTTGTCTGTTGTCACCTTTGTCTTGTCGCTTGGATTCTTTATACCTTTCATAAAATGTGAAATTTCCGTGAGGTGATAATATTGGTCCCTTGATTTTTGTACCCAATTAGTATTAAGCTTAGCCATAGAAAAAGAAAAAGAAAACGAAGGAGGAGAAGAGGAGGAGAAAGGGGATGAAGTTGTTTAAAAATTGGGTACAAGTTAAAAAAAATTTAAAAAATGGGTATAGGTTAAATTGGGGCGACCAAATAGGACGGCCGTCCAATTTTTACACAATGACCTGGCATCATTTCAACCAGTATCGAAATTTTTTTTCATTTAATATTCACCTTTTTGTATAATTAAAGCCATTTTTAAGCAAAAAAGATAACTAGAGCCGTTAACTTTTGGTTTTGTTGGGTGCTTGATCGGTTTTCTACCTTTTTAGTCTGACATTGGACTCCAGAAACAGGGGGAAGAAGGATTGATTTTCCTCTTTGGGATTATGGGCTCGGAGACGGGTTCATCGCCGTCGTCAGCTCCAGCGACGGCAGCAACAGCATCCCCAAGTGGTAAGAGAAATAGAGACCCAGAAGACGAGGTTTATCTCGACAATCTCCACTCTCACAAACGATATCTTAGTGAGGTGTTTCCCCTTCTCAAAATTCTACTTTTATTTTAGAAATGTGTATGTGGACTTCAAATTAGAAGCTCGCCGATTTTGTTAATCATATTCTCTCTGTCTTAATTTACGTAATACTCTTTTATTTGGGACGTTTCGACATGTTTGAGCATTTCATTTCTATATAACTTTCATGAACTCAAATTTATAAATAATTCAGTTCCGGTGTGATATTTTCTTTATCAAATTACGACCGTTAATATTTGTTTCCACGAATCTAATTCGGTGTGTTAAAGAGGACGAATAGAGTAAAAACTGTAGTGTTTGTTTGGATAAAGAGTAGTTTAGGATTGAAATGCAACCGATTGAATATTCCAAAAGATTGTGGTTTCTTAACAAGGTTATTATAGTTACAAGTGTCTAGTAAATGTTTATTTTCAGATTCTTATGTTGATTGTAATTTTTGAAGATGGATATGCGGCTAGTACTTGAAACGCATGATCTTTGCCGTGTGAGTACTGGCTTTGTGTGCTAGTTGCTTTTGCTATTTATGACGTAACTTGAGGAATTCTGCAGATAATGGCGTCAAGTTTAAATGGACTGACAGTGGGAGACTCCTTACCAGATAATATAGTGGATTCTCCCTCAAGATCCGAAAACATGCTTTATATCAGGTGATGAACTTTCTACTATTTTGCAAGACGGAAAATTACACAGATTTTAAGCAATTTCTGTTTCTCATTTTATGTAGAGAATTACTTTCTTATTCCAACTTTAATCCAACTTCAGTGACTGTTGAAAGTCTGAAATGACACTCTGACCTTAAGCTTATGCTCCAAGTACAAATCCTTTATTAAGTTATATGTTCATGATAGTCCATTGGCATGTGATTGCGTTTAACGTGACGAATTCTTCATCGGTACCTTGCATTAGTTTATAGACTTTACTGCTAAAATATTTAGTTCCTTTTGGATATTTTACTGTTTCCACAGTAATGCATTTTTATGCTTAAAAACTTTCTTCTCTTATATAAAAAAGGGAGAAAGAAAAGAGGGGATGAATTTCAATTACAGATGGGAGATTGCTTTTTTGGAAAATGGCCTTTACTTTTAGGTTCTTTACTCTCTCTATCTCTAATTATTTTAGGTTTGTCTTACTCTAAATCTTTGGAAGGTGTGGTGCATGTGGGGATTCTAATGGAAATCTCTCTCATTCCGTCCTTTCTAGTGAGGTCATTACTGTATCAACCTTGAATGTAAAAGCTGTATGAGTCCATTAAAGACCAAGTGTAATAACATTTTCTTCTTACAGTAAGCTGAGTCTTGAGAGAACTGTTTATTATCCAGAGAGATTTATTGATACCTCTACCTGAATGTTGGTGCTCGGGACATAATATTTATATGTAGGCTATTACAACCTATGTTGAACTTTGTTTCTGAGAGGTAGTGGAGTTAAATGGAGAGAGAGCAAGAATGAGAGCAGACAGAGAAGTTGCTTTTCTTCTTCCATGTACATCAATTGTTCCACTGCAGCCTATGCTTTTGTTGATGCTGGTCTCTATTAGGTTTCTGTAGGACCTTTAACATCTATTACTGTTAAATTCAAAAGTTACTAGAAGGATAAATCGAACTACTGGCTTCTCTTGGTCCGTGACCCTGCTCCACATAAAACAAAATGAAGCAAGAAGTAACTATACTATATCTGATTAGCAAGGATCTGGGACTTCAACATCCAATAACTTTCATGACTTGCACGGTCTATGTAGCTGTCCTTTCCATTTCCAGTTTTCACTTGAAACTTACCTGCCTTATTGTTATAATATCAGAGAATATGGCGGTGCCTTTTCTAATATGTTACCCTGTGTGAGTGGGCAGCATTAAACAAACAAGGTAAGATGCAGAGTAGCCACCTGAACTTTTTTAATACTTGCTCAAACGTTTTTACACATATTTCCCTTGTATAAAAATTGCCATAAGCATGATGCGTACTCCACTGTTTGAGTTTCGCTATTTCGTCTTCTATTTAATCCATTAAATTGACCTCTTAAATTTCATAGTCATAATACTATGCTATAGGAGTTGGTCCTATGTAGGAAGTACCAAAAAAAAACACCTAAGATCTGCAAACTGAGGAAACACAATATTATGGCAGTTTATATGGATCTAGTTGCAAGTGAATATACAGTGGTACGGGATTCTGCCGTGTTGATTCTGTGTCTGCATATTTGACACATAAATTAGTATAATTTATAATCAAAGCAACCTCAAAACTGGTAGAGTTAGATGCTCAAAAGATAACGGCTTTTCCACTCATCAGTAATGGAGTGATGAATGACAGAAAACTAGAGTTGGTAGATGCGGTTTGTCATCTGGGAGCTGTCTCCTGTCTTTTTTCAAGAGGGTACTAGTTTCTGCTGATTCTATGATGATCCTAGTTCGATTCATCTACTATGACTCTATGAACCTTGTAGTGACTGTACGAGCTATTCTGCTGCGAAAAGTAAAGTGTTGAGAGCTTTACTTTCACTGACATTACGAACATTTCAAAAGATTACTAGATGAAACTAACAGTGACCCCTCTGTATATCCTGTCATGGCAATTGGAGTTTAGAGCAAAAAAATGTTTAGCAAGGAAGTACAAACCTTATTCTCATTTTTTAAGTGTAACAGAGGGGTCACCGCTGTATGTATTATAGTTCCAAAAATCTGAAATGGAGTGACTTGCCTTCTATTTTGTTGTAAGNGTTCCCTAATCCCTTGCAGAACCACACACGATGAGGAAGACACACACTTTAATGTGTAGATAGACCAATCATCACAATACATGCTTTTGGATCTGGTTACTTTTAAGGAGCATTTATTTTCATTTTATCTCTCCCCGAATCACTTGTAGAGATAGACTACCTGTCCCGAGTTTTGGATGTCCTAATTATTTGCAACCCGACAACTTATGTGCAGACGCGGATACATGATTTGAACTCTAGAGGTTCAACTTTTAAAGTTTTTAGCTTTGAACCCAATTATATTTTTTAAAGTTATGGGCAATTTTAATGAATTTTTACACATAAATCCATGCTCCATGCCAAAAGTACTGCCCCTGCTTATATGCATCTGAATATGAGATATAGTTGACAGATGAAGATGAAGATGCTATATTTGCTATCTCCCTTTTTATTTGTTATGAAGTTTTATTTGACTTTATATTATTGGTTTTTTCAGGGAGGAGATGTCCTTTCAGTATTCTCCAATGTCAGAAGATTCAGATGACTCACGATGCTATGAACCTTTGACAATTACCAGCTCCCCCCAATCTGAGAGCACGCCAACTAGTCCAGTCTCACCCTACCGATATCACAGACCTTTGAATGGGTTCTCATCAGGCCCTCCCTCCACGTCATACCCGTCACATTCCTGCAACTTCCCTCCTGCCACATCCTCACAGCCTCGTCAACGAGGCTCTGATTCTGAAGGTCGTTTTCCATCATCACCCAGTGACATATGCCACTCTGCTGACTTAAGGAGAGCTGCACTTTTGCGATCTGTGCAAATGAGGACTCAACCTCTCGGACCATCATCATTTGAGGTGCAACTTAGTCCAGGGCTGGAGCCTAGTCATATGGAGACCGAGGACCGGCCTTGTTCCTACATGAAGTCTTTAGTTGATGAGAGGGAATATAAGATTGACCAATGCTCCTCAATGAGTGTATCAGCACCCGAAAATGGGGAAAGACCTTGTAGAATTTTGAATATGGGGCCGAAAGGAGATGAATCTGTAGATTAAACACAATCCCTATCCCTGACCTTAATGACTTCAATTACTGCACTTGTGCACAACTAAAAACTTCAGTGAACGGCTTGTGCACTTTAGGCTCAAAGATGACAACTTTCCGAAAATGGGCCTGTTCTATAACTCTTGTAAAAATAGCACGGTATAGCGAGTTTCGGACTGGTCATTCAAAAATAGCCGGCGTTTACCAAGTCAATGAAAAATAGCCACTATTTTGCTGCGCAGAGACCGGTCCAGCAAAATATACTGGAATTCGGTGCACCTGTGTATGAACTCTAGCATATTATGCTGGACCGGTATACTTGTTGGAACTCCAGTATATTATACTGGAGTTCTAGTGTACTTATGATGGAACTCCATCATATTATGCTGGAGTTCCAGCATACTTATCTTGGAACTCCAGTATAATATGCTGGAGTTCAAGTATACTTATGCTGGAACTCCAGCATAATATACTGGCGTATTTTCCGGGTTTTGAACAGTGTTTTCGCTCAGATTTATCTTTACATGAAAAGTGGCTAAATTTCGATTACTTTTGAAACTGAGCTATTTTTGAATGACCAGTTGTAAATCTAGCTATTTTTGAATTTCGCCCGTAACTCTTTGCTCACAGAATTCCCTCATTATTTGTGTCATTCTTGCCTTATCCTCCTTACTTCCATGCTACCTCTACTACTCTCTCAAATTTTTCATTTCCTAGTTGAAAAACCATTGAATAGAAACACAAGTATAAAAAATGTCTCAGTGAGAAACCAAGTAAATATTAATTACTTAGTATAAACTGCATGTCAACTAGATCTCAGTGTCTGGTAATAAATATGATGATAAGGCATCCGAGAAGTCCAGGCCAATTCGATTTCCTTTTCCTTTTCTCTATTCTACTCTAAAATTTCCTGTGTTCTCAAACTTGTCCCACACACTCCCATAGTCCCTCGTGTTTACAAAGTAGTCTTCAACCAGTTGAATATTCAGGGTGTACCAAAGTAACTCAAAGAGTTTCATTTTTCTTTCTTTGAATACGTCCACAGAGCAATTTTTCCTACCCCTGCAGTTGGGTAATCTAATATGAAACCAAGTTTATTTAACGAAATTAAAAGTGGAATAGGGGAGGAGATAGCCACTGGCAATGAAGAACCAAGCACCGGTTAGCAATCAATGGTAACCACCACCACAAACAAATCATCAATAGATTTTTCAAAACTCAAAAGGATTCCCCCAATAACAGCGTTTTCAGTTACTAGAAATGAGGCTGTAAAAAGTATAGACAAAAGGAAGGGACATTGACTTGGGGTTTGTCCGAATGGCCCCGTCATCTTGTTAGGCTCATTTCAGCAACTAAAAGCAAGGGCAAGGGGGCACACGAAGGGGTTGCGGAAAGGGGGTACAGAGAGGCTTGAAGAGAGTGACCCTGTTATTAGCAAGTGAACATTCTTGAATGGAGAAGACAGTTTGAAAATCATGAATCAAATGTCGGATTAATCGATGTTGGAAGGCAGATCTTCAAGGTGCATTATTCCCTCATGCAGCATCTGAAGATCCTCCAAATGCACTTTCTTTTCCTCAAGTTGCAATTTGAGTACTGTCAAGTAACTACTAATTTGTAAACCCATCTTGCATCTAGCATCCTCACTTTCAGACATGGAACCAAAGGATGAGTTGCAAGGTAGTAAAGAAGCTGACAGGCGATGACCACCAACAGTAGTACCATTTAACCTAAGAAGAGAAAAATGCATAAGAAAGTTACACCAAGTGTATTCCCATCAACTATAGCAAAGGCAAGATTAAATTGGAAACAAGATGAACAGAAAGTCAGAAACTTGATTTCAGATTGGCATAATTAAAGTTCTTGACCAAAAGATAGTTGAAATACCATAGGTTATCAACCAGTGTCCACCAATAATGGAAGAGAATATGTTTTGCTAAGGAAAAGAGGAAGATATATTATTCAATGATCAGATGTCAATATGAGTCTTCTCATAGTTAAGAATATGCAAACAATATGGAGTAATGATGCTAAGAGTCGGTGAAAAACTACATGGAACATTGAGGAACATGATTAATGCTGATGCAGTAATAAAGAGAAGCGGTTTCTGGATTCAATTCTCCGCTCCAACTTCTTCCGAAAGGAAACCATGAGAATAGTTTTATACTTTTGACATGGCAAAGTAATAAAAAAATAACCCGGCCCCCTAACCTATAAGAGTTACAACAGATGAATGCAGTAACAGTAAAACATTTCTATTCCAGGTTGAACCACCACTTACTTTTTGAGGATTGACTGTGATTCCGTGTCAGTCTCAACTGTAAATAAGGCATCAACACTATCCTTGCTTACCCATGCCAATCCTTCTGTTGTGCCAACTTTACAGATTGAGTATATCTCACCAATGGAAGCAACTCCGGATATGCCTTTAATCCTGATAGTAACAATAATCGAAGCCCGCAGAGGACGGATTTGAAGACGAGTCTCCCCAAGAGTTAACGCACCAGCCCTAATTGCTCTGTTGCAGGATTCTAAGCTCTTGCCAACAGTTAACAGTTAATAAACAAACTTTTCCTCAATGAGGAGAATTTAGGCAGAAGTTCCAGAATCAATAGGATACCTCGAATTGGATGTCCCAACAGTTAAGCCCATCAGGCAGATCCCGGACTGACGTAGTGCAGACCTTTCCAAAGACTGAAACTGCTTCTACAAGCTGAGAAAGGCTGATGGTAGAAGGTACATTCCCAACTGATATTGACCTCCGACCATTCATCCTAGCAGCATCAGAAGTTGTATAAATCGATCCAGAAGCATCATCACCATTGCCAAACTCACAAGAAGTTTGATGTGGTTTATCAAGATTTAAGATTCTGCCTTTTCTGCTTTGCTTGCTTTCACTGCGAGAAGACTTGCTTGAAGATACTTTTCTACCATTATCATGTTTCTGTGGCTCAAAAGGTATTGGTAACATCTTTAAACAAATCAGTCCACGTACCCAATAGTAAGAAGTCCTATATGGACATATAATGTATTGCTCTTAATAAAATCAGAAAGGCATACCACAAAAGGGTCAGGCTTCTCCGTCGCTAACTTCAGCTGCCAAATGGCTCTTTCTACTGGAGAACCCAATTCTGAGAAGTCATCATCGTCATCACAGACAAATTGTAAACCCTTTGAGCTCTTAAATCTTTGGAACTGGAAGCTGGTCAACTTTAAGGTGTAAGAATAGTACAATAATCAATAAGAACGCATGGCATTTGGCCTTAAATACTAAGAATATTAATGTCTATAAAATCCACACTATACAGGAAAATCCACAGGTTGACCTAGCATGAAAGAGAGGGTACAGACAAAATACCAAGGTCTTTTTTGTCCTTTCTTTGCCTTCCAACTTTGATACACCCGAAGTATTTCTCATGTACCTGCCCAGCTTAGCAAATAATAATTCTCCTAAACTAAAACCTCCCGATACTATTTTAACTGTTCATCTAAATAATTATGCTGAAAGCTATTGAGCCTTTAAGAAGGTAGTTTATCCTTTTCACTAGCTATTATGCCAAGAGGTCTTTGCTATGCTTTTGACACATTCAGTACTTTAAGTTTCTGCAGCTTGCCCTTGGTTTTCTCCATGCACTGATTATTTGTTGGCCTTCACCTGAACACTATTGTGCAAAGGTGTTATCTCTGCAGATTTACTAATTACTACTTCCTTCATACTAACAAATTTATCTATTTCTATTTTAGGTTGTTCCAAAATTGTCAACATATTCTGATGGAGTTTATTACCTTTTTCATCCATTCATAAAAAATTTCATCAAATATTCTATTCGTAAAATGGTTGTTGGACCCATTTTTGAGCAAAAAAAGTTCACATTTTTCCAAATCAACTTTATCTCCACTTCTGTACCCATTTTCACCTATTGTGCAAAGGTATTAATTGCAAAGATTTACAACCCTATTCCAAAATTGTGTTAACTATTTGTCCCTTCGGCGACATCTGATAAAATTCGTCTGATACGGAGAAGATTAGTATGGCTCCTACGCAAGGATGACATGCACAAATCGAGAAATGGTTCAATTTTTTGCAATTAAAAAAAAGAACTTAATATTCTTTCAATATTCTACATTCTGTTGTTTAAAAGGTGCTGCATAGCCCACATTTGAACAGCACAAAGTTCAAATTTCTTTAAGTTCACTTTATATACTACAATTTTGGCCTCTTTTTCAACTAGATGTTCTTACCTTAATAATCGTGCCAAACAAAATGGGACACCAAAATGAGACAGGGGAAGTATTTAATCAAACACATTAGATCTAGTTCACCGTTTTCCCTCTGTTATCTCATCAATCAACTGTGCCTCAATCCCAAATCAATTCATCTGCTCTATGAGACAGATTTTGTTTGCCGAACAGCAAATGCCAGCTTTTTTTGATGCATAACCAAAAGGCTGTAGGAGCCAAACAACCCTATTATTAATCTCAATGACATAATTATGGGATCTGTGCATAATTGCATAATCGATTTTAACTTTGCAATCTAAGCCCATCAGAGGGAGCTTCCACATTGCTTATTGCTTATAAAAAAAAAACAATAGAGGGAGCTATCCATTCAATTTCTAAACGTTAAGTAACTTTGGATTGAATTCACTGTGGATAGGCCAATGATTTTGAACTCGAACAAACACACAAAACAAACCAACCCTTGCTATTTTTATGCAGAAGTTATCCAAACATATGGGATAGTCTGGATTTATACATGAACACAAATACATTCTACAAAGTATGCGGTAGAATGTAGATGCATGATAGAGAATAGAAAAACTATATTAAACCAATAACACTAGAATCCATATTTAGTGAGCAATGAGAATGACTGATGAATTAGACAACAACAACAACAACCCAGTATAATCCCACAAGTGGAGTCTGGGGAGGGTAGTGTGTACGCAGACCTTACCCCTACCCTAGGGTAGAGAGACTGTTTCCAATAAACCCTCGTTATCCTTCCCTCCAAGAACTCCCAACCTTGCTCTTGGGGTGACTCGAACTCACAACCTCTTGATTGGAAGTGGAGGGTGCTTACCATCAAAGCAACCCACCTTGTCAATGACTGATGAATTAGACAAGAATACCAATTGAGGAAGGAAAGGTCAAAAGAGAGACTCTGAATGACTATTATGCATTCACACTCATACAGCTGGAAACCTT